TTGCATTTATAAGACGCCTGACTCCCAGAGACTCTGAACAAAGAAGTAGTGTAGGAAGAAGAAGTGGCCATAAACTTAATTAATTAATTAACAACTCAGCCAACATTCACAGGTGTTATTCTCACCTTATTCTTTCTTATTCTTATTACCCTGTTTCCCCGAAAATAAGACCCAACTGGAAAATAAGTCCTAGCATGATTTTTCAAGGTGCTCGTAATATAAGCCCTATCCCAAAAATAAGCCTCAATTAAGATAGTCAACCAGACAGAGGTGTTTTGTACTGTATTTCCCCCCCCCAAATAAGACCCAACTGGAAAATAAGTCCTAGCATGATTTTTTAGAAAGGTCATAATATAAGCCCTACCCCAAAAATAAGCCCCAATTAAGATAGTCAACCAGACAGAGGCGTTTAGTACTGTATTTTCCCCAAAATAAGACCCAACCGGAAAATAAGTCCTAGCATGATTTTTCAAGATACTCGTAATATAAGCCCTATCCAAAAATAAGCCCCAGTTAAGATGTACCGTATTTCCCCCAAAATAAGCCCTAACCAGAAAATAAGCCCTAATGCGTCTTTTGGAGCAAAAATTAATTTGTTTTGCTTGTTTCTTTTATTTTATTGTGTTGTGTTTTATTCACTAAATTTACTTGCCACCCATTTTGGTGCAAGGTAGGAGACTTACAACATTAATGTACCTAGAGATTTATTTATATAAATTTATATACATCACACATGGCAACTCATAATATTAAAAATCCACAATATAATCCCTTCCCCCCTAATCCCAGCCAGGAAACTTCTTAAGCATGGTGGGTATTCGGCCTATAAAAGACAAATGTTATATCAGCTAGTATAGAGGAAGCTTCAGTAAAAGCTGGGCAAGATTTAAATTTAAAGTTGATTTATGGAAGCCAGTGAGATACTGTAAGCGTAGAGCGAGGAAGTTCATGTTGGTGAAAATGCATGCAGTTCCAGACTCTCAGAGTGACCATACACTGCCAAATTTCAGTCGTTTTGGACACTCCAAAGCATGATGCATTTGTTATCAGCTCTTATGCGGGTTATACATTATTGGCCTCATTCCTCTCTCTTTCTCCTTAATCAAGATATGCCTTCCTCCACGGAATGTGAGCCAATCTCCAAATTTGGACAAAGGGTGTGTGCCATCAGGTAAGGCGAAGATTAGACAGACATGGGGATTGCCACATTCTCATGGCAGTTAAGAACTGAAATCCAGAATGTACAAAGCCTCCGCCCTGTATTATATACAATTTAAATGCATATATGTATTGTATATGTATTTATTTACATATCCTTGCAAAGCTCTAGGAACAATTCCTTAGCCCCATTCTCTGGGATTCTGGGAGTTATCCATAATTGATCTTAAATTTACACATGTCCCTCTCCATCACTCCTCCTTTGCTGTCATCTCCATTGTATTGATTTTTAATAATAATAATAATAATAATAATAATAATAATAATGAGAGGAGGAGGAGAAGGAAGAGAAGAAGAAGAAGAAGAAGGAGGAGGAGGAGAAGGAGAAGGAGAAGGAGAAGGAGAAGGAGAAGGAGAAGAAACATAGGCCATACTGATTTTGAAGAAGAAGAGGAAGAGGAAGAGGAAGAAGAAGAGGAAGAAGGAGGAAAAGGAGGAGGAGGAGGAGGAGGGGGAGAAGAAGAAGAAACAACATAGGCCATACTGATTTTGAAGAAGGAGAAGAAGAAGAAGAAACATAGGCCATACTGATTTTGAAGAAGAGGAAGAGGAAGAGGAAGAAGAAGAAGAAGAAGAAGAAACAACAACATAGGCCATACTGATTTTGAAGAAGGAGAAGAAGAAGAAGAAGAAGAAGAGGAAGAAGAAACATAGGCCATACTGATTTTGAAGAGGAAGAGGAAGAAGAAGAGGAAGAAGAAGAAGGAAGAGGAGGAGGAGGAGGAGGAGGAGGAGGAGGAGGAGGAGGAGGAGGAGGAGGAGAAGAAGGAGAAGAAGAAAAAGATGATGATACCTAGGATGCTGGCAGCAACCCGTATCAACCATCAGTGCCAGTCAATTATATTTGTGATAGATTTTTAAATGTTCAGTTGACTGAGTTTCATGTTTAATGAATAAAGAGATACTACTACTACTACTACTACTACTACTACTACTACTACTAACTAATAATAATAATAATAAATAATAATAATAATAATAATAATTGTAACACAGTGAAACATCCAGGTTCCCTATCCCAGGTCCTTGGTAAGGACTCAGTAGGTAGACAAAAATGCCAAACCCCAGTCTGAACATCTGAGTGACTGTGCGATGATCAATAACAACAACAACAATAACAACAACACCCTTAGAGCAATACCCAAAGGGTTGCCTAGATACATGGATAGACTTAAATATTCTGACTTTGCAAAAAAAAAAAAAAAAACCCACATTATTCGGAACGGGTTCCATACAGATGTTACCTTAACAGCTCTTAGGTCCTTGGTTAGGACTTGAAGTGTTAAGTTTTACCAGTCCCAGACTGTGAATCAAATTGAAGATTAAATCAATAATAACATGGCATTTGTGATGCATTTTTGAATGTTCAGTTGACTGAGTTTCATGTTTAAGGAATGAAGTAAATAATAATAATAATAATAATAATAATAATAATAATAATAATAATAATAATAATAATACTCAATGGAGCATTGACCATTGAAACTACACAGTTATGGACGAAACATGTCACCGTGGTACCCGTTGTCATCGGGCACTTGGTACCCTGGACAAGAATTTTACAAAATACATCATGAAATTGCAGCTTCCTGCAATGACACCAGTGGAACTGCAAAAAATTGTGCTACTCGGAACATCGTATATTTTAAGAAGATACTTGGTTGATACCTAAGACACTGGCAGCAACCGGTATCAACCATTAGCACCAGTCATTCATATTTGTGACACTTTTTTAAATGATCAGTTGACTGAGTTTCACGTTTAATGAATAAAAGGAATAATAATAAAAGAAAAAGAAAGAAGAAGAAGAAGAGAAGAAGAAGAAGAAGAAGAAGAAGAAAGAAGAAAAGAAGAGAGAGGAGGAGGAGGAGGAGGAGGAGGAGGAGGAGGAGGAGGAGGAGGAGGAGGAGGAGGAGAGAGGAGGAGGGAGGAGGAGGGGGAGGAGGAAGAAGATGATGATGATACTTGGTTGATAACTAGGATGCTGGCAGCAACCCGTATCAACCATTAGTACCAGTCAATGGTATTCGTGATGCATTTTTGAATGTTCAGTTGACTGAGTTTCACGTTTAATGAATAAAAGGAATAATAATAATAATAATAATAGAAGAAGAAGAAGAAGAAGAAGAAGAAGAAGAAGAAGAAGAAGAAGAAGAAGAAGAAGAAGAAGAGGAAGGAGGAGGAGAGGAGGAGGAGGAGGAGGAGGAGGAGGAGGAGGAGAGGAGGAGGAGGAGGGAGGAGGAGGAGGAGGAGGGGGGGGGGGGAGGAGGGGGAGGAGGAGGAGGAGGAGGAGGAGGAGGAGGAGGAGGAGGAGGAGGAGGGGGGGGGGGGGGGAGGGGGAGGAGGAGGAGGAGGAGGAGGAGGAGGAGGAGGAGGAGGGGGAGGAGGAGGAGGAAGAAGAAGATGATGATACTTGGTTGATAACTAGGATGCTGGCAGCAACCCGTATCAACCATTAGCACCAGTCAATGGTATTTGTGATGCATTTTGAATGTTCAGTTGACTGAGTTTCATGTTTAAGGCATAAAAGAGAGAATAATAATAATAATAATACTCAATGGAGCACCGAGTTAGTTGTTCCAAGATCACCCAGATTGACTAACATCTGCATGACAAAATAGCCACGATGGTGCCTTGGAAGATCTGCAAGAAATATCATTTATTTGCAAGCAAGAACTGGTGGGACCACAAAACAGACAAAAGTAATAGAAAAACAAAGAAGCTCCAGTGCTCTGGGACTTCAGAATTCAAAGAGACAAGCGCCTGCCACAATATGGTCCCAGATTGTGTTACTGTGTGGTTATATGTCTATGGAGATTCCCAATTATCCAGGTCACGGATGTCCCAAAGCTGCTTTAGGATTTCCTTGTTTTTTTTGTGTTTTTTCCCCTTTTAAACTGTTTTGCTTCTTATCCATCAGTTCTGTGTTGTTACATGTTTTTAGATTGTATTTAAAAAAGTTTCTAGATATGATTCTTGTACTGTGTTATATAGTTTTAATTGTTCTGAGCCACCCCATCATGTATAGTAGTAGTCCTCGACTTACAACAGTTAAGTTTAGTGACCGTTCAAAGGTACGACGGCACTGAAAAAAAAGAGACTTACGACCAGTTTTTCACACTTACGACCGTTTGCAGCATCCTCAGGGTCATGTCATCAAAATTCAAACGCTTGGCAACTGGCTCATATTTTATGACGGTCGTGATCCCCCTTTTGCGACCTCCTGACGAGCAAAGTCAATGAGATTCGCTTAACAACCGGATGACTAACTAAACAACTTTGCAATGGTTTCCTTAACAAATGTGGCAAGAGAAGTCGTACAACGGGGCAGTTAACTCACTGAACCAATTTCTCACTTAGCAACATAAACTTTGGGCTCCATCGTGGTCGTAAGTCGAGGACTACCTGTATCATGGCTCCTATAAAATGAGGAAAGGAAAGGAAAGGAAAGGAAAGGAAAGGAAAGGAAAGGAAAGGAAAATATAAGAAGGGAAGGGAAGGGGAAAAAAGGAAAGGAAAGGAAGAAAAAGAGAAAGAAAGAAAGAAGAAAGAAAGAAAAAGAAAGAAAGAAAAAAGAACAAAAGAAAGACAAAAGAAGAATTAGAAAGAGAGAGAGAGAGAGAGAGAGAGAGAGAGAGAGAGAAGAGAGAGAGAGAGAGAGAGAGAGAGAGAGAGAGAGAGAAAGAGAAAAGACTCTCCAAGCTCAGAAAAACGCAAGGCCCTTCCCTTTTCCGTTGACTGACTCACAAGCAACGCAGAGAATAAAGGCGGATAAAGGGTACCTTGTGCCTGGAGGCGGCTGAACTTGAAATCCATTCCAAACCACACTTAAAGGAGGGACTCTCAGGATCCAGAAACCCCCCCTCCAGGGTGCTTCAGATGCAGCTCAAGTCTGATGGGTTCCCTGTGGGTCGTGAGGCCTCTTTGCTCTGAAGAAAGAAGGGAGAAAAAGAGCAAAAGTTTGGAAACGCCATTCTATTTCCTAATCTTTGCATCATATCAAAAGTCACCTATATGGAAAGTTGCTGCCTGCTCCACCTTCCCCAGCATTTATCCCGGGGTCTTCCTTAGTCATTCCCTTGCAAAGTCAGTGCCCTAATAACGGTAAAGGGTTTTAGGAAGGAGCTTCTGAATGAATCTGAAGAAACAGATTCTGCCACTGGAACGGTCCCCTACAATAAGGAAGGGGAACTGATTCTTCTTTTTCCTTTTTCTTTTTTGGAAATGTAAATTTTATTAGAGTTTCAAAAAGGAGATTAAAAAGTGACAACATCTAATACGAAGGGAAGGGGAGGGAAGGAGAGGGGAGGGAGGGAGGGAGGAAAGAAGGAAAGGGAGGGAAGGGGGGAAGGAGGAAGGAAGGAAAAAGAAGGTAGAGGAAGGAAGGATGATAGAGGGAAGGGGAGGGAGGGAGGGAGGAAGGAAGGGAGGAAGGAAGGAAAAAGAGGGTAGAGGAAGGAAGGATGATAGAGGGAAGGGAAGGGTGGGAGGAAGGAAGGAAGAGAGGAAGGAAGGAGGGAAGGGAAGTGGGGAAGGAAGGAAGGAAAAAAGAGGGTAGAGGAAGGAAGGAAGGAAAGGGAGAGCGGGAAGGAAGGAAGGAAAAAGGGGATAGAGGAAGGAAGGATGATAGAGGGAAGGGAAGGGAAGGGAAGGGAGGGAGGGAGGGAGGAAGGAAGGGAGGAAGGAAGGAAGGAAGATAGAGAAAAGGAAAGGGGAGGGAAGGAGGGAGGGAGAAGGAGGAAAGGAAGGAAGGAAGGGGGAAGGAAGAAAGGAAGAAAAAAGAGGGTAGAAGGAGGAAGGATGATAGAGGGAAGGGAAGGGAAGGGAAGGGAAGGAATGCAAAAAGTAAAAAGAAACACAGTAGAAAGAAGTTGCCAATTTTCTTTGCAGCTAATGCAAGTATATTATCATCTATTTACAAAAAAACTCTCTTTTTTCCCCTCGCTTTTTCTAACCCCCAAAACCAGAAATCAGAAGTTCGTATTTTTTTCCCCACCACCCTGCAAAAGGTCTCTAAGTCTATGAGGGCAGGGCTTCCAGCCGCAGGTGCCAAGAGGTGGCCAACCAAGGATGGAACGATGGACTGACCCACGCTGGACATCAGCTGCCTTCAAGGTAGAGCCGAGAATCCTTTTCCCGTCACAAAGGGCTGAAGAACTGGTTAGCACTGTAATCCCTCCGCCTGGCTGCGGGCCAGGCCAGCCTTTCCTTGGCTTGGCTTATCTCTGACTACTTCAAAGCGAGACCCCCTTCATAGGTTCAGCGTCATTTTCGATAGATAACGCATAAACACCCCGTTTGTTTTTAATTCTGCTAAAAGCGAGAATGGGTAAGTGGAAAAGGTTTGACTTGGGAGTTCCGGTTTGAAAAAGCACAAGGGCTCAAAAACGACCTCAAGTAATTGGAGACGAACAACATTAAACGAGAAAAAGGAAGACGGGTCCGAGATTTAATCTATCATTTTCAAACCAGTCCAGATAATAGCAATTAGCTAAAGAAGCCAACAAAAGAGCGTATAGTCAAGGCGATGGTTTTCCCAGTTTGCAATGGATGGCTGTGAAAGTTGGACCGTAAGGAAGGCTGAGCGCCAAAGAATGGAGGCCTTTGAACTCTGGTGCTGGAGAAGACTCCTGCGAGTCCCTTGGACTGCAAGGCCATCCAACCGGTCGGTCCTAGAGGAGATCAACCCTTACTGACTGCTCTTTAGAAGGCCAGATCCTGAAGAGGAAACTCAAATGCTTTGGCCACCTAATGAGAAGGAAGGACTCCCTGGAGAAGAGCCGAATGCTGGGAACGATGGAGGGCAAAAGAAGAAGGGGACGGCAGAGAACGAGGTGGCTGGATGGCGTCACCGAAGCAGTGGGCGAGAGCTTCAATGGACTCCAGAGGATGGTAGAGGACAGGAAGGCCTGGAGGAACGTGGTCCATGGGGTCACAACTTCACAACTAACAACAACAACAACAAAAGAAGCCTTCCCCATGCAGTGCCCTCTGAACTCCAGGTACCCAGAATTCAGTGGCCGCGTTCAGTAAGATCTTAAGGCTTTCACACCTATTAGAGGCCTGAATATCTCTTCTAAATCGCATTGGTTTTTACCCACTATGGTTTCATTCCTTCGTACGTTGATATTCACTCGTTCCTCAATTCAAAATCTCTGGTGAGGCTCAAGATTTGAAAGGCAGTTTTTGTATCTCTGGAAAATTATTATTTACTTTATTCATTAAACATGAAACTCAGTCAACTGAACATTCAAAAATGCATCACAAATACCATTGACTGGTGCTAATGGTTGATACGGGTTGCTGCCAGCGTCCTAGGTATCAACCAAGTACCTTCTTCTTCTTCTTCTTCTTCTTCTTCTTCTTCTTCTTCTTCTTCTTCAAGATGTACGATGTTCCGAGTAGCACAGTTTTTTGCAGTTTCGCCGGTGTTATTGCAGGAAGCTGCAATTTGTTGATGCATCTTATAAAATTCTTGGTCATGGTACCAAGTGCCCCAATGACAATGGGTATCACTGTTACATGTTTCATCCATAGCCGTGTAGTTTCGATGGCCAAGTCACGATATTTCATGATTTTTTTCCAGTTCTTTTTCTTTGACTCTGGTGTCTCCTGGTACCGCGATGTCAATAAATTGTACATTTCGGTTTTCGACAACTGTGATATCTGGCGTGTTGTGTTCCAAGTGACGATCTGTCTGTATTCGAAAGTCCCACAAGATCTTCCCTTTCTCATTTTCTATAACTTTTTCCACTTCATGTTCCCATGACTTTTTGAATACAAAAAGTTCCCATGACTTTTTGAATATTTTTTACATAATGGCCAGTGGATTAATTTAACAACTCGGTCGTGTCTAGCTTTGTAATGAGTTTGTGCGATTTTGCTACATTCACATATTAAGTGTGAAACAGTTTCGACTTTGTCGTTGCAAAGTCGGCAGTTTGGATTGTCGGTGGGTTTTTGTATCTTCGCTTTCGTGGCATTAGTTTGTAGGGCTTGTTCTTGAGCAGCCAGTATTAAACCTTCCGTTTCTTTCTTGATGGTTCCCATCTTAAGCCAGGCCCGTGTCAAGTTGCCATCACATTTTCCTTCAATGTTTTTCAAATGCTGTCCATGCAAAGCTTTGGTTTTACATCTATTCCATCTATCTGTCATCCAGCTGTTTTTCCTTATATTCTGCCTTTATTTATGTTGTTTGTTTTTTTTGTAAGTTTGAAATTCACAGAAACTCTCTTGATATGTGTGTGTGTGTGTGTGTATAAAGTGTTTTTCTATCGAGACACCTGGTCTACCCCAGCATATGGGAGGGAGCATACTGCATCCCTTTCGCCTTTCAGCTCCAATCCAGGAGCCCTCAAGCCCAAAGGTTTTCCTTAAATTTGGAAACGCTCCAACTGTGATAACAATTGTATATCTTCTGTAAAGAATTGTATGAGGAAGAAATAGGTAAAAGAGCAGAATAGGGCCAAATTCTGCGACCAGCAACCTCCTTTTGCAGTGAATTTAAACAAATATTGATGCGTTTCCATGGCAATTCCTGTTCTGAATATCCTCCCAGTCATTTTCTTTTTTTTTTTAAATAAAAAGGGTCTTTCCTGTTTGTGTTTCAGCTTTAAACTTGTAAATATTTTCTGCCTTAGTGCACGTATCCTTCAGGGAAAAAAAAAAAAGAGGAAAAAGGAAAAAGACCAAAAAGGAAGATTGCTTTCTTATCTCTCTTCTATCAGTACAGCGCTTAAGAGATGACAGCATGGTGAAGTTTGGGGGGGAAACCCCAAAGTGCTATTTTTTTCCCCCAGCCCATCCCATGGGAAAAATCCAATAATCCCAACGGATGCACTGATAATTAAAGACTATTTCAGTCCCCCAAGATAGCTAATTGAAATTAGTCCTCCAAGCACGAGTGAGTCGAATTCATTTTGCCTTAAGAATTCCCTTCTCTTTCTCTCTAGGCTTCAGCTGGTTTCAAATCAGTGGCTTGGTCCTCCTGGTAACACCTAGGAAGCGTTTCAGAGATATGGGTCTCCCAGTTCTGAACATTAATCTTTGACATTCCTCCATTTCACCATGCAAATCTATTGCTTCTCTTGTGCATCAGTGGTGGACTGCTATCGGTTCACCCCGGTTCGGGAAAACTGGTAAGTAGTGGCAGCGGGAGGCTCTGCCCACCCGCCCGGACATCATCAAATACGTTCTGTGCATGTGGAGCTCAAAGATAAAGATGAATCGGAATTCTATGTAACCTGGAATACATTTTATAAATGGCTAGAGAAAAGGAGGAATGTAGGGATAGAGATTTAGAAACAAAGTGAAGAAAAGGGGAGAAAAATAAATAAAATAATATAAGAAATATTAGATAGGAATAAATTGGATTTGAATAGATGCGAAGGGAATATGTATATAACTGGAGTGTGATTGAATTACAAAAAGTATATATGGAATATATATACTTAACGCATAACTAACTTAACTTAACACTTAACTTAACTTAACGCTTAAGGCTTAACGCATTGTAAGCCGCCCTGAGTCTCCGGAGAAAGGGCGGCATATAAATCGAACCAATAAAATTTTATATATATATATATATATATATATATATATATATATATATATATATATATATATATATATATATATATATATATATATACACACACATATACATATACATACACACACACACACACACACACACACACACACACACATATATATATGGAAGATGCAGGATGTTATATTGTAATATACATGCAAGAAAAAGTGTTAGAAAAGTATGTACCAGACAAGTCGCACCATGTCTAATGTTTTTAAATTGTATATTTAATAAAATTTATTTAAAAAAATATATATGCAGAAGCGCGAGCGAACCGGTAGCAAAGGTAAATGTGCATCAGGGGTGAAATCTACTTACCTTGACTACCGGTTCGGA